CGGAGCCGAGCCGAGTCGTACCACGTAGTGGAAAAGCGCCATAAGGGAACCCCAAGAAGCCTGTATCAGATTTAAGGCCATAAAAAGTCTTAAATGGTACAAGAAAGTCTTAATTATGATTTCAAGAGGTCTTAAATGTGGGGACAGAAAGACAAGAATTGCAATATAGCTTAATGTGACGAATAAACTTCAAAAAGCTATGATTTCATGAAATAAACATGAGCGCTGCACGTTTCAAAGTTAGGTGCTGCCTGCCGTTGCAGTGGTTTTCAAAACTGTCCTGAAGCTCCAGCACTTTCGTCCCTCATCTAACACACCCGATTCAACTCGTCAGCTCATTAGTAGAGACTTTAAGACCTGAAGTGGGTCAGAAAAGGTAAAGAGTTGTGAGAAAATACGATGCGTGTCAGATCCGCGTCATGTTCAGCAGCGGCAGATCTTAAAGCAGCCAAAATAACTTAATAACCCAACTGCTGTGATGTCTGTTAATCAAAGAACAAAAGAAAAGGAGGAAATCAATCACTTTTGTAGCTTTAGTGTTTGATAAATTTATTCAATTTCTGTATATTTCCTACTTGCTGAAGGGCACAGGTAAGCTAAATATGACATTTATTATTAAGTGAAATATTGTTTTAAGTTTACTTAAATTGGAAGTTATTTTTTAAAGTCTAATAAATGTTAAAATTGATAGCTCTCAATTATAGCTACTGTAATGTTGAATGGTCAATTGTTAAATATTAGGAAAAAAAAACAATTTTCATAGAGACATCAGTAGTATTGGTATCAGTGATACTCGCCTTCAGACATAAAAAAGATGCCACTAAACAAATATTAAAAATATACTGTATTTATGCTGTTTCTACATTAATTTGAAGATGGAATGTGAAATTAATGCAATATAAAAGTTTATTTAAAAACTTTAATGTTTAATCGCAATTCATTTCAGAAAAAAAATGTGTGTTTAATTAGATCATTTTTTTAATCGATTGACAGCACTAATTTTAACTCAGTCTCTGTGTAGAAACATGACGTTTGAATTTTGTGATTCATTTGTGAAACATTTTAAACTGTCCAGTGTTTTGTTATATGCTTTCAAACGTTCTGTTCATCAAAGAATCCTGAAAAAAAGTATCACAGTTTCCACAAAAAAAAGGATAATAAGAAGAAATGCTTATTATTATTATTAATATTATTATTATTACATATAAATAAAACTGATATAATAATCTTAATTCAAATATCATAATATTAATTATCTTCCTGTTAGGGCTATGCAAAAAATCGCCTGCGATTTTGTGTAGCTTGTCAGTGATCTACGGCTCTGTGTAGTAAATGCCGCTCCATCTGAAAGCACGTGCTGGAGATTTACTACTAATCACCAGAAGCGGCTTTACTGACGAGATTCGCATGAAAATCGCATTTGATTTTTAGCCCAGCCCTACTTCCTGTTTATAAATATGATTTTTAAAATTAATATTATTATGGAATGTCATCGAATGGTTGAAAAAAAATATATATTACTATATAATATTATTTGTATATATTTATAAATGTGTATGTATATATATATGTATGTGTGTATGGTTGTACGTTTATCCATTGTTGTTTTTTTGGTGTTTGGCTTAGTGTTATGTTAGAATCATTATTATACTCATACCGTTTGTTCTTTAATATTTTGAATTGTTTTTAGCTTTATTTTTGATTGTTTTTCATTTAAATGTCAAGTTTTGAAATTTTGTTGTATGCATTTGTCATTTTTATTTAATTTCTTTATTTTTAAAATGTGTATAAGTAGTATTTATAAAGTTTTAGCTTTTAGTTTTGGATCTGTTTTTAGTTGTTTTAATACTACAATTGATTGCTTCTGTTGTCCTCATTTGTAAGTCGCTTTGGATAAAAGCATCTGCTAAATGACAAAATAAATAAAAATAAATAAATAAATAATATGAGTATGATTTATATTATATATTATAATTATTATATATTAATATAATAATTATATTATATTATACTGAATGTCATCATCAAATGGTTGAAAAATATATATTACTTTATTATTCTTTATTATATGTATTGTTCTATTGTGTTGCATTACAAGTTCAATTGAAGTGAATTTGTGTTGCTTATGTTTTAGGATGCTGGAGTATTCTTTAGATGGTCATAACGTTAGTTTCTCAGCCATCAGAATCGTGCGGGTTCTCAGACCATTACGAGCCATCAACAGAGTTCCCAGTGAGTACCGTTTTCCCTCTATTTGTTTGCATCTGTGTATTTTTCTTGTTCTAGTGTCACTGTTTTAAAACCCAGCTATTGATTTGAAGCAAATGATTTTGGACTCGGCCTGAAAAAAGATGTGCCTGCTGTATTTATAGATTCACACACGCACAGAATAGACAAGACTCCCATGATGTATTAACTTGGTCACTGACGCTGATTGTTGCGGCTAAGTGCCCACAGTCCAAAATCTCATAGTTGATGGACCACAAAAAATACATAAACACTCATACACACGCTGTTAGTCTTCAGAGAGGTGCTGGTGTATGTTACAGTCATGGATGGAGTCCAGCAGTGCAAGTGTCTGTTTTGTTTAATGTACGGCGAGACAGTAAATTCTTGACATGCACGGATACTCTTACCATTTATAGCTCACTCTTTTTGTCAACACATACCAAATAAGTTTGTGTGTGTGTGTGTGTGTGTACCTACTTAACCATATTTTGGGGACAAATTTGTACCCAAAATTGAGCAAAACCTGACAAAATCGGCAAAAAAACTCAATTTGGGTATGTCCTCATTTGTAAAACTGGTATAAAAATAAAGTAAACAGTTTTTTTTTAATTGTAAAAATGCAGAAAGTTTCCTTTAAGGGGTAGGTTTAGGTGTAGGGTTGGTGTAGGGTGATAGAATATACAGTTTGTACAGTATAAAAACCATTACACCTATGGAATGTCCCCATTTAGATAGCTAAGTAAACGTGTGTGTGTGTGTGTGTGTGTGTATTTAGCAAAGCAGTAATAGATTTTGGACTCAGTGAGGAGTGAGAGCCCGTGGCTGTTAAGTTTCCAATTCCATTATTCTCAAACCACCGAGCATTAGCCAAAGCCCTGCAAGTTTGTGTTTGTGTGTGTGTGTGTGTGTGTGTGTGTGTGTGTGTGTTTGTGTGCCTGTGTTCACTTCTTGGCTCAATTACTGAATACACATCAGACACTGAGAAAATGTGTTCATGAAGTATGTGAATGTCAGATCAGAGTTATCAAAGTTAAATGTAACACTACGGTCTCATCTGTAAATGTGTCTAGTGAACCCCAATGGCTTTGATGCTTCATTGCACGTGTTATTAAATACGTGTTTGTGACATCATGTATCTGTGTCTCGTAGGTATGCGAATCCTGGTGACATTGCTGTTGGATACTTTACCGATGCTAGGAAACGTCTTGCTGCTTTGTTTCTTCGTGTTTTTCATCTTTGGGATTGTTGGCGTGCAGCTGTGGGCAGGGCTTCTGCGCAACCGCTGCTTTTTTGACAACAACGTCAGAATGTAAGTGCAAAACTGGTGCTTCTTAAAGCAAGTTACTCAATATATGCAAATTGCAGGGTTTGCAAAACTGCTGCTGCAGCCATAAATACACTGAAACCACATGGCTATGTTCCGTGGTGGAACCTGTTTATGTCGTGTCATCAGATGAAAGAATGAATTTTAGGGGACTTTGAAGGCCACTGTCCAGATTTTAATGAGTTTAATTGAATTTAAGCTATATTATTATAGTAAATAATATTAGCCCGTTCCTCGGTTTATAAAAAACAAAGAACTAGCATGTGTCCAGTAATGCACTTACAATGTAATCTTATGAGGCAAGTGTGCTGGAGGCTTTAAAGGGATAGTTCACCCCAAAATTAACATTTTGTCATTTACTTCTCCTCATGTTGTTCCAAACCTGTATGAGTTTCTTTCTTCTGTTGAACACAAAAGAAGATATTTTGAAGAAAGCTGGTAACCAAACAATTGCAGGTAGCCATTGACTTCCATAGTGTTTTTTGCCATCCCATGGAAGTCAGTGGTGTCCATCAACTGTTTGGTTACCAGCATTCTTCAAAATATCTTCTTTTGTGTTCAACGGAAACTCCTACAGATTTGAAGCAACTTGAGGGTGAGTAAATGATGACCAAATTTTTTTTTTATTGTATTTAATGTTGAAAGAGTTATTTTTCTACTATATATATACTGTATATATATATAAATTTTTTTTTTTACAAATATTAGTAATTCTAAATTTTTAAGTAACTTTTTTTATGAGTCACACCACATAACATTTTACTATCCTGTACTAACCTTGTCTCTATTTTTTAAATGTCTCCTGGACACTGACTTCATAGACCTCTATTAATAATGTGCTTCTGTATATCTGCACACACACATTACAGTTTTTCCTTAGTTTTTACAAACACATGACACATGAAATATTTTTTGTGTTGTACAGTTATAGACCTGGAATTACCTTTCAATGAGGAAATCAGCTAAGCAGTATATATATTTTCTCAGTAGATTACAGCAAAGCCAAGTATAAATGTTTCTTTTTTATTGTTTTGTGTATGCAGAAACAAGAAATCAATTCTCACATTATATTTGCCATAAGGGCCTCATTGATCATAGAGAGTTTACAAAGTAAATAGTTGAATAATGAGTATCCATATAGGCAGTTTGCACCAGTGAATCATTTTGACAACTGTCCACCCTGATGTACTGCATACCAGAAAGCCAGTCTGCCGAAAGAAGCCTTGACCCGTTCAGGTGCATCGCTGCTTCTCTCCAACTCCCTCCCCAAATCCCAACACTATCCAAGCAACGTCTGTTACAGTAATGCTTCTCTCACTCAAATTATGCTGCCCTTTTAAAAATCCAGCTCTCTTGTGCATACAACATTTATTGCATTGTCTGTCAAAAACCACTTATAATATCCACTTCAGTGCATGTACATCTGCTGCTATCTGCATTCAAAACTCAAAAGAATTGGCCTTTACTTCAAAAAACTTTTTGTCATTCTACAAAGCAGGTGCCATCAGAGTGCATTTTATGCATATGTGTAAAAATAACTTTTAACTCATGTCAACTTTTATTGTACTGTATTTTAACATAGATATTTTCCTTCTCTCTTTATGTGGATGCCTTTTTGACGTGTTCTTGCTGCATTGGCAAATATTCACATTTCATGAAAACCAAATATATGAAAATAAAAAGTAGCATTTGTCTTTTATTATCTCTCCGTAGACTTTTGCCCCCAGCTTGTGCGTTAACTAGGGGTGTGCAATATATTTCGTCTATGATAATATCGTAATTGTTGTTTAAACCATATGCTGTTTGACATCATCGAGTATATTGCAAAAACCAAACAAAAGCACATCCAGAGACTGCACGCGTACATGAGATGTAGGTTAGGCTGGCCGCACACTAGAGAATTTTAAGGCCGATTTTAAGCCCGATTTGCACCCCCGAACGATAGGGGGTGTGGCCCGATTCGCAGCTTGTCGCAAACGATTTTTTTGTCCAAAACATCCTCTATTGTGTGGTGTCATTACGATTATTTAACTGCTGCCGATCGAGACGGAGCGTCGCCGAACTCAAATCGTAAATATCAAACATGTTTGATATTTACGACTCTTGATCTGGCTGCCTCTGACGTAATACCCGTGATAACTAATGAGAGAGCAAGCGTCACCAACCGGATGTTGCGTGCTTCTATAGCTGAAACTTGTTAGCCACAAACATGCCATGAAAGCAGAAAACATCACCCATATTCTTTGTTATACTTTGCTTTTCATTGTGAAACAGAACGCGCGCCAGGAAAGCCAGCTGACAACGTTGATTGTATTCTATTTGTTTTTCTTCTCTAGTCACATTTGATCTCGCCAGTCTCCGTGAGATCATGTGTCACTGTGAAATCATTCCTACAATCATCAAGTGTGTGTTCTCGCATTCTGGTCAAATCGTCTAGTGTGCGCGTTCAGAGGATTATAAGGCTAAAAATCAGTTGAACTGTCTTCATGTCTGTGGTCTCCCATGGCTTTAAAATCAGATTTGAAAATCGTCTAGTGTGCAGCCAGCTTTAGACTACTGCACGAGCACATTTAGAGTTCACACTTTTACTGCGTGATTTAGTCTATTAAAATACTTTTAGAATTCCCCCAAAATGGGGGAAAAAGTTGGCAAAAATGACACTGGATAACTTTTATATGACTTTTATACAGAGTTCTGGCATGAAACTCTAGATGGCGCAGTCCGATAGGTCTAGC